ATTATTACTACAAAAATAGAAATTAGTTTATAATTGTTTATAATATATTTTTATTTTTTATTGATCAATTTCTTAATAATTTAATAATATATCTTTTGTATGAAATATAAAATAATTTTCTATTTTTGTAGTAATGATATGTATTTTTATTCTCACTTTGCGTCAATTTCTAATATATTTTTTATAGAATGATATAAATAGAATATATACAATATAACTTTTTTTAATAGATGAAATATGTGATTTTTTTTTCTATATGATTTTTCCATCAAACTCAAACCATCTTTGTCAATCATACATTGTTTTTAATTTTGCTATATATAGTTTCTATGTTTCAAAAATTTTTCACGTTACAAATATTTGCAATGCAAGTAATAATACAAACAATTATGCGTAAAAAACACACTGGCAACTTATGTTACATCTAATAATGTTATTCGCTTTGGTATATTTATTTCTAAATCTTTCATAACTATGATTATTATACAAAATCTGTATAAGTATTATGATATAAATCTAATCATTTTTTCAGCTTTTGATTTTAAAAAAATATAAAACATACTTTTATGTAGAATTTGCTGTAGATAATCATTCATTCAAATATAATAAGTGAAGCAAATGTGTTGAGAGCATTGCGAGTGGAAAAGACTCGCAAGGTAGCAAGGTAAAAAAATCTCTTTTTTGACTCAGCCGGTGAACACAGCCGGTGAATATGAGTAGTCTCCGCCTCTCCCGGTGAGAAATACAGAAACGAAGAAACGTCTATTTTATAGACGTCTACGCGTCTAATATAACGTCTTTTTGGCCTGTCATTTTTCACTGGCTTGGTGTAATCGAAATCGCAGCTAGTAGCCATAGCGAAATAAATAAACTAAATTAGCATACGTGTTGCTCCTCAATGTGCACACTCTGCACTCTTCGAATAACAATTTTTCCGACAGCATTTAGATTGATGCGAGGAAAAAAATTATAAAATCCACTATGCATATCCTACAGCCTTATATAATTTATTATTCCCTCTCCGTTTCTCGTAATTCTCGCTGCACGATAGTTTCACGCGTATTTCTACCGGAGTAAAACCACATTTTACGTTTATAAGATATAAATGAATGTGATATAAATGCAAGCTAAGCGTTCGATATGCAAGTATTTTCTTTACTCGTCGAGCGATTTTTTTTCTACGAATTCTTAGAAAAATATCGTGAAGCATTCGAACGCAAAACGTATTGAAGCGTCTATATTAATAGTACAAGAAACTGTTATTATGAAAGAGAGAGAAATATTGACGATACAAAAGATTATTGCTTTTTTAAAAGTAGACTTAACGTTTGCCTGCTGTTGGCCACTTTCAGTGGAGGCCACTAAGTCACAAAAAATTCGTAACAAGATATTTCGGTGGTTTTGCTGTTTAAATAGCTTGCTGATGTCAGTATCATTGATGTATACGTTAAGCCGCCAGTGTGATATGTTTCTCGTTATGAAAGTGGGCTGCGAATTAAGTGCCTTTCTACAAATTCCAATACAGATTATGTTATTCACGTTTCAAAATGATCGTTTGCAAGTAAGAGAGCAATGTGCTTGCGCTAAATTTGTCGTAATTGCAGTTTATATCTATTTATTTTATTACTTGTAACGCCAATATCAAAATGTACGCGACTTTAATGAACAGTTTTATAGATGCGAAATAACTTCATCACATCTCTTTGTATTTAATTAGAATCAATGATGATCGGATCATGTGTTACCTTTATTTCTTAAAACTATCTTTACTTATAAAAAAAATTATTATGCATTTATAGTTCTAGACATTATATTTGTGCAAAATTTAATTTGCACAAATTTAATTTAATTTAATTATTATAAATTATCTGGCTGATGTAGCACGGCTGAAAGTATATTTGCTTTCATTACATTTTTGTATCATACATTAGCAGAAAAATCTGCAGTTTGTGTCAAGTATTTCCAACTCCAATCGTCTTTTTCATGGTGTCTTAGATTTTGTTCTCGTTCTAAATGCTTTTTTACGTGTTCCGATAAGCTGATGAATATCACATAAAATATATTCTTCTTTTTTTCTTTTGTCTAAAATATTTCCAGACCCATGTATCCTTTTCATTCTTTTTTTGCGTATAAAAATCTGCATGCGTATCACGTACGTGGTCCTTAAATTCATATGTTAAATTCATACGTTTGCTTAGGTCGTGATATATGAAATGGAAAATTATATGGAGTATGCGAACTTGGAGGAGCAAAATGTGTTTCAACGTTATGTTAATAAATGTAAATTATTTTACGGAATGACAATGAGTGTACTGACTGTAACTTTGATTGCTATGATCTTTGGACCGTTGCTGCTATCGCAACCTTTTCCAATCGAAGTAGAATATCCATTTTACGTGGACGTACAACCGATAAAGACAATCATTTATTTGCATCACGTAATGGCCGTATATCAAAGTTACGTGCAAGTATGTGGTAACATCTTCATAGCTCTTTTGCTTTGGTTCGTAGCGGCAAGATTTGAGATTTTGTGCCACAATTTTCGAAAAGTTACAAATATCTCAGAATTTCTCATGTGCGTAGAGCTGCATCAACATTTATTACGGTAAGATGTAAAGCGTCACAGCATAATGAGAATAAAATAATAATTTATGTTAATAACAATAAAATCATTGTTTGCTTCAATTTTTTTTGTTTCCAATAAATTGATTATATTATTTTAAATTTCTGTCGCGTTTATTATTAACTTGTAGATTAGAAAAATTGAAATACTCGAAAAATAACACTGAAAACTTGAGAATAATTAATAACTGATTGCAGATACGCGAAGGATGTTACTATGACAGTTCGATATATAGCATTGACATCAATAGTGTTTAGCACTGTAGCAGTAGTATTTAGTGGTCTTACTTTTTTGAGTGTAAGTCGTGTGTATCTTTATTTATTCTACGTATACTATGATCATATTCAACAATTTTAAGGTATAAACCTTAATATTTGCGCACTTATTTTGTAGCGACAACCATTAACTATAAAGGCCCAATTTTTGACAATCGGCGCATCTTCACTTGTAGAAGTTTTCATCTGCGCGTGGCCAGCTGATTACATATTACGCATGGTAAGATATAAGAGAACGTAGAAAAAACTAAAGAAAATTGATTCTGATAATAAAATTGATAAAAAATCTTATTAATTAAAAGAATATAACATTTCTATTCAATTATAAAAAATGTTTGCGTTCATATATTTGAATATAAATGCAACAATATTGTTACTATCGCTAGATTTATAAGAAAATTGCAATTTTGATCCTTCAGAGCAATAATGTTGGCCACGCTGCATATGATTCATCATGGTACAATAAAGAAATAATGTTACAAAAGGATTTACCTTACCTCATAATGCGATGCCAGCAGCCTGTAACTGTTACTGTTCCATGTATGCTACCGACACTTTCACTCAATTATTATGCTTCTGTAAGTCACATACAATATTTATTAGAAATATATATAATTATCACATACTAAATAATTTATTATTCAGAATTTAATATTGCTGGATATAATTTATAAATTTCAAATTGTTTTTTTAAGCATTGAACATTATTTTTGAAACGCGAATTAAAAATAACTTTGAGATATGTTCGTCAAAATTCATAATAAATTCTAATCAATTTATCATTATATTAAGCGTACATGTATTGATCTAAATTAAATGTTTATATCTGGCAGTATTTGTCAACAACGTTTTCCTATTTGACAACGTTTCGGGCAATATTTGCCGTGGAAGATGGATTACAAATATGATTGATTGTATGTATTGTGTTTTTTAATTAAATAAGTATAATTTATAAAGCAATATATTATTGTAAATATTTTAGTTAAATAAATTTCAATTAAATAAAATCTAAATGATTTTGTAAAATACGAAATTAATAAACAAATAAGTTTAAGCTAAATGTTTGTGTAGAAGTTTATTTTGTCAATATTCACTGAACATAAACATCTCAATAGTTATATTTCCAGACAGCACGCATGTCCAAAATTGGGACATAAAACGTCTGAAAGACGTCATGTGCGCTGTCTGGGTTAAATCTTCAGCGTTTCTAAAAATGTTTGTTACAAAAATCAATTTACAATGTATTGAATCCTTTGTAACATATTCTTCATTTGTTGAATACATTTTTATAAATAAATTGCTTACCTAATTTGTATTTTTTCATTGCATTGTTGTATTTTGTTTAATTGCTCGAACATCTAGCATTGATTTATCTGCTCACTAATTTTAATTTTTTTAAATTGTTGTATCAATAATTGCGTAAATTAATGTATTAATTAGACTTCTGTTTCCTGTTAAGAGATGTATATTGATAGAGAAAATTGTAGTGTAAGAGAGAAAAAGTGTAACAATCGGTATAAACTAGACTTATATAAACGTTGTGAAGTTGGCTGTATTAAAAATAATGTAATTTTATATTTATAACTCAATGAATAAATTATTTGACAGATACAGTTTTCTCGCGTTCTAATGTTGAATCTTATACTTACAATTAATCAACAATTAATTTATTGCAATAAATTGCAATCAACGTAACAACGCTACAGATCCTTACCGGTCTACTTAGTCATGGATGCATGAATATCTAGATACGATATGCATAGTCCGAAAAGTCTCTAATAAAGGTATATTCAGACAACTTGCATAGATGCATAAGCATAAGCATAAGAAAATGGACCAATCATGTTTCCGTGCCATTTAATTCATTTAGGCGGTTTTCCAGCTAATAACACAAAATGATATCGGATATCATACAACGACAGAATGATACTTGTGTCGACTTGTGTCATTAGCTGAAAAGCGGCTTAGTAATTTCAAATTTACTCTATCACTGATGCCTTAAATATAAACAATTATCAATAGATGGTGCTGCTTGTTGTTTATATTTGCATACACTAGCTCCTTTCTCTATCTAATCTTTTTTAGGTTCCAATGGAGAGTGAGACAGCTTCTTTATAATTTCTTACGCTCTTTATATTGTGCTTTTAATCATGCGACGAATGAATATTAGCATGAAATGCGGTAATTGGTGTATGGAGTGGAATTTATTTGCGAAGAGCTTTAAATAAACGCAGGTATGTTTGTGCATTCTTGTATACACACATATATATGTATGTATATATATGTATGAAATATATGTATATTTACATATATTTATGGGTTTTGTGTGTGTTGTGTATGTGTGGTATGCATCTATATTTGCCATGTGTAAACCTTAGATGTGGAATACCAAGTATCTTATGTATTTTACATGTGCACAATTCCGTTTATCAATATCTCACTTATTGGAATAGTATGCTATCCAAATGTCAATGAAACAAAAAATTCTTCATTACTGACATATATACTAATAAAATTTTGACAAATTTTGTGCAATACATTACACTTGAATTCACTTATTGCTTTATAAGTTATTTGTCCAAAATAGTGACAAAATAATAAAAATGTCTTTTGATTAATGAATTATTGTTTAACTATTCAATTTATATTAATTTGCCAGTACTTTTATTCGGTGATTATACATGTTTTTCTTATTTTCAGGAAACATCAATTTGTATTGCGTCACAATAAGTAAAAAAAAAAAAAAAAAAAAAAAAAAAA